TATATATATATATTTTTTTTTTTGAAGCAGGTTTATAGGAAAATGGACAGTAGAGTAAAAGACACCTGCAGAGGCACAAGTGGGCAGGAAGAGCTGCCCTGAGAGAAGCCTGAATGGTTGTCTTGAGGAGAGTGGCCTCTGCTGAGGGAGGCCAGGAAAGAGAAGTCCCAGCAGGTACCGGTCACAGGCAGGCAGGAAGGAAGCCACTGCCTTGCAGAGGGAGCGAGTGGGTGGGAAGAAGCTTCTGCCTAGGTGGGCAGAAGTTCTGCTCCCTGCTGGAATTTTTATTGCAGAGATCACTAATGGAAGAAGATTGAAGGGGAAGTTGTGTTCTGAATCTGGAGGTGAAACTGGATAATGTTTCCCATGGAGCATTATTTATTTTCATGGGGTTCTATCATGCTAAGTACTGTAGCTCAGGTATATAATGAGTTAAATGGTTTTGATGGACCAGATCCTAAATGTATGGTCGAGGATTCAGAGTTCTACAAGCCATTAACAAAAACTAAGCTAAATAATAGTGATGTATTAACAAGTGGCTTGGAAAACACTTCATTCTGTAACTTTCCTTTTTAATATTCACAGTGCACCTGAGTATATTAAAAGCTAAAAATCAGAAGTTTGATAAAAGCAATCTGTTGACTTTGCTTTCCTAGGTCTTGCGTAAACAAATTCTTCCCCACTGAAATTCCTCTTAACACTTCAAAAAACATCCATAAAATGAAAACTAGGTGGTAAGACTATTCAATTGAGTTCCAAGTAAATAATGCAACATTGTAGTGAAAGCAGCCCTCAGAATATTGCAGATGTCATTGGTGGTGTTAGTCTTTCATGTATTAGAAAATAGAATTTTTCTTGATTTTTTTTAGCCATTCAAAAATGTAAAAAAAATCTTTTTTTTTTTTCTTGCAAGTTAAGTAAAATTAGTCTAGGCCAGAGACTGACATTGGCCTGTGGGTTGGAGGTTGCTGTTATAAAAATGTTTTCTTAATTAACAGTTTTAATAGTCAACTCCTTATAATACAGCTGCTTGGGATAACTGATTCATCATCCAAATGCCAGACACCTGAATGAATTTTCAGCTCTGCAATGAGCTTTGTTTGCTTCACACTCACCTATTTGAGAACAAATCTGAGCTGTTTTCGGTGCTTCAAGTAGCAGGTGGGGGCATCTTTTTTAGGGGTCTTCTCTGGCGGGACTGGGGCTTAGACCACGTACCCTCTTCACCTATCCAAAACACAACATCCCAATCTAATACACAGTTGAAGCTAAATGCCTAGCCAACATTTCACTGTTTTTATAAACAGACAAGGCAAAACTGAAAAAAAAAAAAATCTGGTTTAATAGACAGAATGGTAGAGAAAAAAAAAGAAAGAAAAACTTACCTAAAGAAGGAGCAGCTCTTGCCCTTGAAGTCCCCAGATTCGGTTTGCCCACAGAGCCTTCTTCAGGAAGATAACCCAGAGTAAGTTCTCCAACTGTCGGTCTGACTTCAAACCACTCTGAAATATAAACATGGAAAACATTTTTTAAAAATCCACATTTTTGGCAATTGTCATAACAGGACAAAAAGTTTAAAATTTGAGTAGATTAGTTAGAAGCTGTTTTATCCAGTCCTATGGGTGGAGTAGGTAGAGATCACAAACCCTTCCCACATTATTCACAAATTCTTAAGATACTCAAAAAGTTGCTTTGAAAGCTTACTTTCAGAGCAATATATTTGTTATTCATTTTTTGATTTTTTTTTATATATGATAACATACAGAAAGGTGAACAAATCATGTTTACAGTTTGATGAATTTTTGGAGTGAATATACCTGGAAAACCATCCCCAGACCAATAACTACTACCAGTATCCCCAAACCCTTTTCCTGCCTCTCCCACATAGCAGCCCAAGGAAAACACTATTCTGACCTTTGTCATCATATGTGATTTTTACCCATTTTAAATATTTCAGATAAATGAAGTTTATAGCATCAATTTCACTTTGCACATATTTTACACTATAGAAGTATTGACTTAAAGTGATTACCATATGCCCTATAGTTCTTATTACCTGGCCCTGTAAACTCTTGCACTTGAGTATCCATTTCCCTGTTTCTAAAAATCACTTACTCCTTTGCAGCTCACCCTTCACTGAGGCTTGAGCAATGCCTCAGGTAATTTCTGCTCATCAGTCATGCCCTGTTCGTACTAATATAAGTCTGTGGTCAGTAACGTTTCTTTCCAGAACTACAATTGATCATGATTCATTACTTTGCCTGCTTAAAATCAGCCTCAGGAATCAAGGTTGATGGTAACAGGATGCTGTTCAATAATATGAAGAGTTGAGGTGTTTCATGATTAAAGAGAAATTGGGTTTCAAAGAAGACAGCAGGATACAGGTTAGTAGACAGACTTTAAAATAGATGATTAAATCAAATAGTTGTTTCATTCTAGAAGTTCCAGATAGAATCAATGAGTAGAAATAAAACTGAGATGGACTAAATATAAATAAACATTAGGTATCAAAAGGAATACCTGATTTGTGGTTTAAAAAATCACAAAACTGGGCCCTCCCTGGTGGCGCAGCAGGTTAAAGCACAGCACTAAGAAGCTAAAGCCATTTCTGCATGAGTTCGATCCCTGCCTGCCTTAGAGGTGACCACATGGCGTGGCAGACCTCTTCTGACCCTCCCGCTACTCCCCTCGCAGTATACTTCATCGATCTGCCTGTTCTGCTCCCCGCTCTGTCTCTGGTGAAGCCTCTCACCGCTCCTGCACCTCTGGCCTGTACCCCAGTTTTGTATGCTCAAATAATTAAATCTTTTTTAAAAAAAGTACAAAATTAAAATGCTGGACAACAAAGGAACTTGGGGGGAGGAGCAGGTGTGATCCGTGTCAATGGGTTCTAGTCTGTTCCATTGGCCTAATTGTTTTCCCAACAGCACCATACTGCTTTAATTACTATAGCTTGATGGTCAGGAAGTATCAGATCTTTAGCTTTGCTCTTTCTCAGGACTGCTTCAGGGTCTTTTGTGGTTCCATGTGAATTTAGGATTTTTTTCTATTTCTGTAAAGACTGGGATTTTTGTAGAGAATCTGTAGATTGCTTTGGGATATATGGATATTTTAATATTTACTTTTTTTATCCAATTTCTTATGAAATCATAAGTGTACAAGAGGTTCATACCCAATATATATATATGCATATAAAGAATTTATCCAATTAATAGCAAACAAGACCAAAATTGATCATTTGTCCTAAATAGACACTTCTCAAAGCAGAAATGGCCAACAGTTATATGAAGATGTACTCAACATCACTAATAACCCCTATCAGGAGAATGCAAATTAAAACCACAATGAGATACTATCACATAGCTAGTAGAATAATACATATATATAAAAAAGAAAAAGATAAGCAGTATTAGCGAAGATGTAGGAGAAAAGAAAACCCTTGTACACTGCTTATGGGGATGTGAACTGGTACAGCCAATTACAGAAGATGCACAATAACTTCCACATCTGAGTACATTTTTAAAGGAAATTAAAACAGTATCTCAAATATGTCTAAACCCTTATGTTTCAAAGATGAAAACAAACTAAATGTCAAAAAATGGACAAAGAAAGGTAGTGTATATTTACAATGGAATATTATTAGCCTTTAAAACAAGACAATAACATTTCCAACAACATGAATGAACCTGGTAGACATTGAGCTCAATGAAGTATTCCAGATGTTGAAAGGTAAATATTGCATGAACTCACATCTGTGTGAGTAGACTTAGGAAAGCAGAGAACAGAGTGATGGTCAACAGGGGTGGGTGGAAGGAAACCCGGAGATGTCGGTACAAAGTTTCAGTAATGCAAGATAAACAAGTTCTGAAGCTGTTATGTACAGCATGGGGACTAGTTTATCACATTGTATTGTGTGCTTGAAATATCTACAGCATTCCAACGACAAAAACAAAAAAGGAAATTGGTAACTATGAAGTGACACATACTTGTGGTGACCTTTTTACAATATCTATATATCAAACCATCCATCTGTATACCTTAAAATACTCAATTTCTATTTATCAATTATACTTCAATAAAAATGACTTTGTATTCATTTCTATGCATAAACTTAGTCACTTAAAAATAAACACCATGTTTATCTCACAGTACAGAAGTCGGGGTCTTCTATACAGAGTCTCAAGGCTGAATTGAGGAGTTGACAGGGTTCTGTTCCTTTCCGGAACCTCTGGAAATGAACCCAGGCTCATCCAGTTTGGTTTGTGGAATTTGCCCCTTGCATTTGTAGGACTGAGGTTATTTTCTTGCTGTCAGCTGAGAGTTGCTCTTTGCTCGCCCTAGAGACCAGACTGTGCCTGTCCTGCTTTCCAAGGGGTTCTCGGCAGCAAAGGCAGGGTGAGAGCCTCTCATCCTTCAAACTCCCTTCTACTGCATCTCTGATTCCAGTTGGAGAAAGAACTCTACTTTCAAGTGCTCATGTGATTAGGCTGGGTCCACCTGAATACTCCTACAATTCTCCCTACTCTGAGGCCCATGATTTTATATTTGCAAAATCTCTTTTGTCGTGTCGTAGAACATATTTACAGGTTCTGGGGATCTGTGTGTGAACGACATGGAGATCATTGTGCCTACTGTAAAGTTTGATAAATTTAACTACATTAAAGTTAAATTGTTAAGAAGTGTACATGAATGAAATAAGAATGCATGTATGCATACATAAACTATGCACAGTATGCATAGATAAACTATTTTTCTTAAAACAAGTAAATTATAAACAATAGCAGCAGAACCTTCTAGGACAGAAGGTTGGAGAATACAATATAAAAGGACACAGGAAAAAGTAAAGGTATTGGCAATATTCCACTTCTAAACTACATAAGGACCTAAACATGTATCTGCCATTATTAGTCATCTTAAATGGAAAATTTCAATGCTTAACAACATGCCCAAAAATTGAATATAAAATTCTTTAACAGGGTTAGTAATACAAATTCTTTCTGTACTCACAAATTCCTAAATACAACCACAAATGTCAACAGACCAGGAAGCCAAACAAAAAATTATTGGACATGGAACAACAGACCAGGAGAGTCAGAAACCAAAACAACTATCTCGCAATTTGGGGAAATGACTGAATCTCCCTTTCTTTCCAGAGACTATGGAGAAAATAGCTCTTTTATTCAGAAAGATGGGTTCAAATAAAAAGTCTAGTGACCAACATCTGTCTCTAACATCTGTTGCTAAATGATTTGGGTGTCATGGAAATAATGAGGTCACAATGCATCTCCCTAGATTCAAAGGAAATAAGATGCCAAGACTAGAGTGGTATCCTGAAAAATACTAGAAAAGCAAAAGAAAAAAAAAAAGAAAATCCACTTCTTTCACTTCTTTGCTTGCCATTTGCTTAGAACTCCAAGGGGAGATGTTTGGGTGCTTTGAGAATAACTTCAGTGATGCCCCTGGAAGGCCGCTCAAACTGGCCTTACCACCTAGACACCAACTAGGTACCAGGAGAAGGATGACACTGACAATACTCTGGTATTTACTGTGAATTCTGGCAACCCAGCCTTTTCCTACATTACTTACATCCTGTTCAACTCCAAGTACTCCCGTTTCTCTTGGCTTATTTGATATGTGAACTCCTATCTCACTAAATTTTATGTGAACAAATTCACTAGCATTTTTCTCCAAAAAGTAAAGGTCTACACAATATGCTTTGATTAAAAAAAAAAAAGAAGAGGAATGAATTCAAACATACACCACTGCAGTATGAAAAATCATTCCTTGGCTGGCGTCAAGGAAACCTTTGCCCTTTAAACCAGGGACAGAAGAAAGTGACATGAGACCCTGGCTGGCTTTTCTTTTATCTGTGCTTGGAAATTGCTTCATTAGGCTTGGCAGAACTCAGTGGACTTACTTCCAAGGAAAACTTACTTGGATTCAATTTTCTGCTTAATTGTCTCTGCAACATTTGTAAAAGAAAGAGGAATTCTACTTTAAGTTCATTGCTGAGCGTGTTCGGGTTGCTCATTAATTCTGACAGCCGGATATTGTTTTTAATGGACTTGGAAGCTGTAGCCCTGGGAACCAAGGGCAGATGCATCTGGTAACTGTAGTCTGTGAAATTCACAGGGTCATCCTGGACACATTTAATTCTGGAAAGTAAAAATACTATTGGTAAGCCACATTTTTTATAACAAGATTTATCTTATCAAAAGATTGACATCAAATTACAGTACTCAAAAATTGCAGATAACTCACTCTCGGTGTGTCAACAAGGTGTACATCTCTTGTATCAGTATTTCAGGGACTCCAGCTTTACAATGAATTGTTCCATGAATTAGTTCTTTAGGTAATTTAATTTTTTTTCTTGCCAAGAACTTCAACAGTAAAAAGAAATTATTTTCATCATAAGAAGTTCTAGAAAAGTCAATAGTTACTATGAATTCACTTTATTGGTTTATTTTACATTTAAAAATAAAAAAACAAATGTATTTACTTATTTTACACTGATTAGGAAAAGGAGAAAGAAAAAGAGAGGTGTCAGCCGAGTCACAGGCAGGCAGGAAAGCTGTTATTATTCACTTTACTCTCTCCCCCTCCCTTTATCGCTCCACTCTTTTTTTCTAATTTTAAGGTATTAATTATTAAAAGATGCTGTTATCCAGCAAGAGACCAACCATTCTGCCCCACACTCATTTGAAATGAGTATGTTCAGCGACTCAGAAAACAAGCTATAATAACCATCTTTTCACACAGGGGAGCAAGGGCCGATTCCGTGGGCCTCACAGCCTGTAGTCAAACGTCAAGTGCGCTTATCCCAGACATCAAGAGTGCACCTTCCAAAACATAAACGTCTGAGCAGTTAGAAGTGTCAGTGGTGGCTCATTTACCTTCTCCAGCTGTCCCCAGTTATCCAACTTGACTTTTAAAGAAGTTCCATTTTGAAAGGATGACAATTTAATTTCATTAGGATAATAGGCTGTGAATATTTCGGCAACCAAAAAGCCATTTGAAAAGTCCCTGATCCAGAACAGTAAAAAAATTTAAAACATAGTTAGTTATACAGTTTCAATTATTTCGTAAGGAACTACCACCCGTCTGATTTCCGTACTAAAACCGAGAAACTGGCAAAGTTAAAAGTTCCGTTGGCCCATTGCTCTGGGAAGGGAACCGCTCTGAGGTAACATTCTGGTAGGATGAGAGAACCCCCCCAAAGGCCCAGTGTTCTTTGGATGAACCCTACTATTAACTAGGATTGGGGTCTGCCACCTCCCAGTGAGTCATACACACACTGAAAATTTCAGCCACATCTTTAATTAAGCAGCGCGTATAGGAGTCAATCAAAGTCCTTGCCTGCAAAACATCCGTCTTCATGTTTATAGAATTTGATTTGCATTCCCAGAGCGAGCAGGAACGGTCAGCAACTGCAGGGTGGACGCAGTTAAGCAGCAACTTATGTCCACCGTGTAACCCTTCAGCAGGACACCATCTAAGGGGGACACTGGCCCTCGCTAGCATCGATGCTCCTGTCTCTGCAGGAGCTTTGTCTCCCAAACGCCCTTCATTAGCCTAAGTCGAACACGGAATGACTGAACCAAAAAGAGAGAAGGAAGACCATCCTCCATCCTCTGTTTCCCCAGGGCTGATCCCTTCGGGGAAGGTGTGTTTGTGCGACGCGTTTGGGTGACGCCGGGGTCCCGATCCCGGGGGGCGGGGGGCCTGGCCGTTCTGCACCTGTTGATGTTCCTGGGGAAGAAGCTGAGGTCGAGACTCTGCAGCCAGCGCAGAACGGTCCGCGACAGGCGGGAGCTCTTGGGCGGGTGCGGATAGACCAGAAACTTCCTCGGCTTCCCTCGGGGGGGAGCTGCGGCCTGCCACCACGGAGACGGAGATCTGGAGACAGCTGCCGCCGGCAGCGTCACCTCGTCCCCTCCCCGGCCGGCGGCAGCCATGCCGCTTTCTGCGTTTCTATAGCAACGCCGGGGCGGGGCCTCAGTGCCTGCCCCGAGGACTCCGCGGCCCCCGCCCCCCGCGGTCACTGCAGTTAACTACCACTCCTTGCCCCCCACCCCTCCCCTCCCCTCTCCCGCCCCACCTTCCCCGCAGGGCACGCAAACCCCTGACCCACCCTCTAAGTGCAAATAGTGCGCCGTGACTTAAATGCTAGGCTGAGCTTTTAATATCAGACTTAGATCCACCTCAGCTGCCCTCTTGGAGGTTTCCACTCTAATGTAGTTTTGGCCTAGGGAAGGGCTGTTTTTCAGTCCAGCATTTGAGGAGCGTGTGAGGAGGCTCCAGAGGATCAGGTCAGTTTGTTTGGAAATTGAAATCAATGGGGTTTTGCTTCAAAGCAAAAACAAAAAAAAACAAACATGAAGCTATACAAGGGTTTTTCCATTGTCAGGTAGTTTCTCATGAAGGATTCATTCATTTAATGCACTTTTTAAAAAGATTTATTTATTTATGCATACAGAATTGGGGTACAGGCAGGGGGGGTGCGGTGGTGGTGAGAGGATTCACCAGAGACAGAGTGGGGAGCAGAACAGACAGATTGGCACAGAACACTGCTGAGGGGAGCAGCGGGTGGGTCAGGAGAGGGCTGCCACACCCTGTGGGTCACCTCCCTGGCCGGGCTTCGAACTCCTGCTGCAGTGATTGCGGTAACTTCATAGTGCTGTGCTTTAACCCATTGCGCCACCAGCGAGAGCCCTAATGCACTTCTTTGAAGAACAATCCTGAGTTATGCACTAGATCTTCACACTGCATTATGGCAGCCATGAAGTATATGTGGTTATTTAGATTTACATTTAAATAAAGCTAAATAAAATGAAGTTAAAATACACTGATTACATTTCAGCTGTCACAAACAGGTGTGCCGGTAGTTACCACGTTGTGTGTGACATCTAGACATCACTTCCGTCACAGTAAAATGTTCTTTTGGACAGCTGTGCATTAGAATATTTGTAGGATAAAAGACACAGAAATATAAATGCTAGTTGAAAGAGCATATACATTGAAAGCCCTGCGATGGTAAAAATACATCCCAATAATTTGAGCTGAGAAAGTCTCCCCAAGGAGGTCACATTCGGTTTGGATCATTTAAGGCAGTAGTTGGAATTGATTAAGACATGGACTTTAGAGGAGCAACTCTCTTTTTATTAGTGTGTGTCTCTGGGCAAGTTACTGAACCACTTTTTTTATGTTAAAAGATGGAAATATGGAGAGGATATACCGAATAGGATAATTATGAAGATAAAATAAGCAAGTTAAATATGCAAAGAGCTTAGAGCAGTGAACAAACACAGTAAGTGCTTAGTAAGAAAAAATGTTTTTCACAGGATCATAGAAATCCATGGAAGGAAGGGGAGCGAGACAATGCCACACAGAATTATTAGTGTGAACTAATGCTTAGATGGTATGATTTATGTCATGGCACATGAAATGGCATGAGAGGCTTTTTCTGATTTTAGGAAATGGCAAATAACCCAGTAGGACTGAGAAAGTTTTGTTGCAGCAAAACATGCAGTTGCATTTAAACTCTACAGCAAAGTAAAATCCTTACTTCATTTCACAGGCTGTAGAAACTAGAGTTTACTTTGTGCAACTTGATGGTCAATTAAATCTAATTAGGGAAGTGCTAATGAAATTTCCCCACCTGTCTTAAATTAAGCTCAATTTAATGGCAAATGTATTATTAGAATTAATGCTTTGCAAAACTCATAGACTTTGAATATTCAGATTTCAGATCAAGGAAGTAAAGAATAGTATACCTTATAGAAATAAAATATAAAACAAATAAGTTAAAAACTCCAAATGCTCTTGACCTTCTTTGACTTTACTATCATCTATTATTTTTTCTGAACTGCATTTTATAGCAAGTATTTGAGAAATCTGAAGCACAAGCAACATATGGGACACTAAATATTTAGTAGGGTTAATGATGTGGTAGTATTTAGCTTTGTAAAAAATTCTAATTGCCAGAAATGTTTATCACTGCAGATGGGATATACAGGCTTCTGATACCTAGAAATATAAGAGAAGCAAATATCAGTACAGAAGGAGAGGGTTATCATATTTCAATATATAAAGTTTTAAAAACTGAGAAAAAAACAAGGGAAAGTTTATTATTAGGAAAAGAAAGCCGGGCTATTGATTGGGGCTTAATTGAAAACAGACTTCCTAAAGAATTTTCCTATCATTCATACATACACACATGACTTTTTTCTGTAATAATCGTGCCAACCATTATACAAATATGATGACTCTGTTACATGCATCCTTCCAGCTCCCCCCCCGCGTAAAGTCACAACTGTTTCCGGAGTCCGCCCTCCTTAACAATTGTGCTCAACTCTGCCTATAGGAGACACTAGATAAAGGGACCAGAAGGCATGAGGAAAGAAAAAGGGATTTGCTGTTTCCAGGCTGGATGTTGTTCTTGTGGATGTCATCAGGTAACAAAACCCTACCTGTGATGGCAGTTGCTTCCAGTCTCTAGCTAATCCTAGCACCCATGAAGCAAGTTTCTTCACCCTCTCAAAGACTTAGCAAAAAACCCAAAGAAGTGGCCCCCCCAGTGTTCTGAGCCCCAGATTTTACTCTGTGGGAGCTCCTCTGAGTTTCTGAAAAAACAGCACCAACTGGGTACACTTCCCCTCAGAAGACTGAGTAGCTGGGATAATTTCCTGCAAATTCTAGGTTCTTATCACCCCAACTTATACACACTGTCTCTAGCACAAAGGGCGGTAAAAGCTTCCTGAATCCTGTGTTTTCATTCAAATGATGGCCCCACTTTTGTTTTCCGTTCCTCAGTGTCTGACCATGTCCTTAGTTTAAATTTTTGTCTTCGAGTCCATCGAGTTAGTTACTTCTGCCTAAGTGTGAATGATACCTGTCTTCACACCTGCCTGAGGCTTCCCTCCACCAACTATTCCACTTAACATCTTATTGAGGCACCTGAGGAAACTGCAGCTCCTGTCCATTGGAGCCAGTCAACAGGACATCTGGTAGACTAGGCATGGTGAGCTAGGAGCTCTTAAGACATTCAAGAACTTCTGTTGATCCATGACTGAGAGCATGGAAATAGATTTGACCTGAGGCAAGTTCATGATCACGTATGATTGTTCCTGCTGGATAAAGAGGGGTTTCTTCCAGATTGTTATAGAGGGGGAAAGTATTTTTTCAAATAGTAACAGCACAACAATTGCTTGGAACTGTGGTCATTTATTCCCAGAAAGATGCTTCAAAAGGAAAAGCAGCTAAAATTGGAGTTGTCTCCTGATTAAGTTTACCATCATCTATAGTCATTCTCCAAAACCCATTTAACTTTTTCATAAGCAAAATAACCTTCAACGTCAATAACTTTTATTGCACTCTCAGCCACGAAAAAAAATTCAAAGCACTTTATAGGACGTGTTTTGTTGAGTGAAGAACTGTTTACAGACAGCAAGACATCTAACCCTGAGCTTGGTGACTAGAATTGACATTCCTTTTTATTGTACACACTTGCTTGTATTCAGCTGATTGGCTCAGACGCTGGATGGTGAGGCTGACATGAAGAAAACCTAAAATGTGTTTAAGGTCAGAGTCAGCATATTGAGGTCCCTGGTGCTGGGCCGGTGTCAGGTACAGGACTGGGCTGTCTGTTGTACAAGTGCCTGCACACTCTGTGGTGTTGATTTCTCTGCAACACACAGTCACTTCCATCCTTCTTCCATGTTAGAATTGATTGGTTGTAGAGGACTTTCTGATTCCCAGCGCAGAAAGTAGCCTGCATTCCAGATTTGTGCCAGTCCCCTTGGCTCATTATGTCCCACAGAATGATGTGAAGTGGCCCAAGTGGTGACTCCATACACTGTGAGTTACCTCACAACTGCAGAATGCTGAGCTTATGAACCCCCATCTTTTATATTTATTTATTTACTTATGCATACAAGAGCTCAGGCATAGGCCAGAGGTGTAGTGGGTGAAAGGCTTCACCAGAGACAGTGCGGGGAGCAGAACAGGCAGATTGATGAAGTACACTGCTGAGGGGAGCAATGGGGAGCCAGGAGAGGTCTTCTGTGTCATGTGGGTCAGCTCCCTGACCAGACAGGGATAGAACACATGCTGCAATGGCTTTTGATAGCTTGAATGGGCTGAGACTTAACCCCTTGTGTCACCAGGGAGGTCCTGAGCCTCCCATTTTTAATAATGAGCTACTAGGAAACCTGCCCAACTCTCACCCCAGAGGGAGACATAATCTTTGTCAAAACAGTCAGTCAACAAAGCTTTGCTCTGCTCTGCAGGATGATACTTGCTGTACTATCTCAGGCTGTTCACCATACAAACAGCACTGCAAAGAAATCTGGAACAAAAGCTGTCAGAGTCTCTGCTCCCAAGATGTGCAGAAAAACAAGAGACTGGTAACAGACGGGGCTCTGGACAAGCTCTACCAAAGAAGGTCTATTTTCTGATTTCTGGAAATTAAACTTCCTGTGTCTTTGACTATTTTTAAGCTTATATTTTGGAATCTCACACTAGAATTACATATTATTTCATCAATATCACTAGCCTGTAGATTTTCAGTTAAATTGTGAGACTCTGGCCCAGTTTCTAAGATGCTTAACTTGGAGAAATAACTTAATAATAAATGCTTACCCTGCCTGCTAGTCATCTTTCTAAGTTGAAGGCAGAGCCATAAGTATGCAATAAACTAAATCTATAAATTGAAAATGCTATTTATATTAAGCCAGCAATTAGAAACTAAGAATATTCTGCTACCTAAGCTACTACTTAAATATTTTATATCCCAAGTCCATATCAACTTTTTCAAAGTGATTTCAAGATTTAATCATTTACTGTAATATTTTAACATCTCAGCTACTAATTCTGAACTGAGTAGCTGAAGGTGTGGGTTATTTATCTCCCCTGAGCGTGATTTCCTTTTTTATATCCAGGCCACATGGCATGCCAG